AAACAGAGGACTGATACTGTTTCTTAATCAGTAATCAAGTTGATCACAAATACCTAATCATGAAATATCGAATCTGAAATTTAAGTAGGGAATAATGCTTAGTCTATGCTAGAGATTGGTACAATTATGGGGCAAAAAGTAAAAAAGACCAATTATTGTTAGACAGTATTCTATAAAGCCTTTATAAAATTTCTATTTAATTTTACAAATAAGTATGTCTCTGGAGGATTACCAATAAAATTATCCAGGAATTTCTATTAAAGCTATAACAGCTTCTCTAATAAATGTTTGTAAGGACTTTCGTTAGAGCTGAAGCAAATTCTTCAAAATTTAATACAGGAACATGAAAATACTCCCATTATCAACACTACATTGACGACATAAATGTGATGATATCAATCTTGGGGGGCGGCACATGGATGAGGTTGACCCCCCAGCAAAATTATTTTATACCGTATATTTCTGAATGTAAGCCGAAACGGACGGGGACTTTAACATGCAAGCGTGTCACCATAAGGGCGAAAATGTTACAAAGCAAGTAAAACGGGTTGAATATTTTCCAATCAAATCGTTGAAAAGTAAAACTCTAGACGGTAATGGTGATAGTTTAAATTCTGTTAACCCTACAGAAGTTGGCACGTTTTCCCGCACCCCCCCAGTGGCCGAGCAGTAAAGTAGCTGAACATTGGTAGTTCGGTCCGAGGTTTGAATCCCGCGAACAGGCTGGCTGCATTGACGTTCTCGTAGTTTTCCAATGTCTAATGAAAGTACGAGTCAGTTTCCCTTAGAAAGTCCTCCACGAAGGCATTCCATCCTTTAGGCTAGTAATTATCGAGTCTTTGCCGTAATTATATCAAACAACAAAGAATATTTATCCACGACTTTTATTTTCTTTTTGGCATAAAGGTTTCATTCTAAACACCCAAAAAGTGAATTAAAATATGAAAGTAATTTTCCTTTTCCACTTTAAGTTTTATAATTATTTATGGTATTCAGTTATTATTTTTAGTGTACGTTTTGGTAATTTTTCGTCTTAACGACGGCGTAACGAATCAGCAATATAAACATTTTCGAAAATAAAAAATTCGTTTTCATAAAACAAGTAATTAATTTTATTTAAAATTAATTGTTTCATAAACTTAAGCAATATATAAAATAAAGAAATAAAAAAGTGTTATATTTGGTGAATTACCCTATGCGCTTGGATAACAAAATGTATCTATGATTTTTGCGAGGTTACCAGATAAGCCGAGCCCCGTAATGCTGCTTTAGAAAATATTTCAGAAATTCTGGACGTATACACTGAAATATGCAGTATTAACTAATGAAAGGAGAGGGAGAAGAAGAAAAAATATACTAGATTTTCAAAAAGGAGGTGTTAAAATTATATTTCACTCCATGAAGATGTAGAGATTTGTGTTAATTAACCAGTTATCTTAGCATTTTGTGAGTACTTTCACCTCTACCTTCATTGACTCTCACCAGGATGCAAATTAATTAATATGTATAAGAGCAGATTTGTTGAGTTCGATAGAGAGTTTTTAGCAAACACTCACTCTATTAGTTCTTCCTACTGCTGAATTATTTAAATCAGCTTTGGCTTTGCTAATCATGACTACTTCGTGAAAGACGAAGGTTGATCCAAAGATTTCGCGTATTTTTCCAAATTAAAAAAAAAAAAAAAAAGCTCTAAATAAGGAAAATATTCATACTATAGCACTTTTAAACATAGAAAATCAATTTTGAAAATCTTACCAAAGCTGTATTTTTAAATGAGGTGGCACCAGCCGTTTCTTGGCTTTTATAATTATATTTAATAAAAGTTTAGGTTCATTCTAAAAAAATAAAACAATATTTGACTTCCGTGCGGCAAAATTTATACAAGATATTTAATTTTAAAGTCTGAGATCGTAATCATAGAACCTCAAAGCCCAAAGGTTTGATTTCGAATTTTTTTTTTTTTTTTTCAAATTTTTTTTAATGCATTTTTGACATTTTTCCACACTCAAAAGTGGTAATATATCAGTAGCTACCATCCTAATAAGTGTTATAAAAATTTAAAACATCTTAGTTAATTCAGATGAATGAGATTCTACTATATTTAAAACAAGAAAACAATTATTGTAGTCTTGAAAAATATTTTGGTATTTATGATGCATTGTGAAGTAAAATTTTGGGTTTCCAAAACATGTCTTTTGTTTTACAAAGGCCACAAAAAGAATTTCTGCTCTTCTAAATTCTTTTATTACGTCATTTATTACCACACTAAAAAAAAGTTAACTAAGCAAGTTTTTATATGTTTTTGAAAATTAACAAATATCGTTTGTTCTTATCATCATCCGTATCTGGCAGTATGGAGGTTTTTTCTGTTTAAACTTCACCTGTCAATTTGTTTCCTGATGGGAAGTCACCAGGTGTTTATTCATTCAGAAGTGATGAGTGAAAGTAGTTTCAAAGGTTCCGAAGAATTCAGTATTCAAATTATCTCGCCCCGCATCTGTGCGTGAGACTTTACTGAATAGAAGGTAAATTGGAGTTTATTCTGAAATGAACATTAATGAACGAACTCGACTGAAAGATGACAGGTATGTGATCAAATTTTTGTTTCAAATTTTTGTTTCTAGCGTAATTCGCGTTCAGTAATTAGAGTGGCCGCATTTGTTTTTGGACTATTGTATTTTTTAAATTTATTTGCGTGAGTTTATATGCTCTATTGAAATACACACTTCAAATCTTTTTCTAACATATTTATTTTTTTTTTAAGTATTTTAAGACTTGCCAAAAAATATTCTGTGCAATAAAATAATTTATTCAAAAAGTTTTAATCGGTAATTCACTTAGTCATTCAGAATTACAAAAAGATGGTTAACAAAACTGTTAAACTAAGAACTAAAAAAAATTGATTCTGAAATTGGATCTGAATGTATCTCGCATAACTCAAAAATGAAAAGACTCAGAACGTTGAAATTTTGTGTATAGGACTGCTATAACATTTAGTTGTGCACCTCAGTTTTGGTTGCAATGGACCCCACCAAATGTATATAAATATGTATATATAACCACTCTGTTACACGGCTCAGTGAGCTCAGTTTTTTTATTCTTATATTTAAGTAAATTGTGCACTTTTTGCTTTAAAAGTGATTGAATTATGTTATTCTTATCTTCCGGTTAAGGTTTTTTATGCCTTTAGTTAATCTACATGCAATAATTGTAGAATTATCAACAATTTAAAAGGGGGGATAAGCCTAATTTGTGTTTACTATAGCAGCCATATTTGTTTACATTTAAAACTGCAGAACAGCGAATCAAGTCAGTTTTTTCACCTTCAATGTTTTTTTGCCGAGTGGAACCAAAAGAATTGCATTTTTTTTTTTTTTTTTGCATAGAAACTTTAATTTTAATCGTAGAAATTGATTTTTTTAAATTGTTTTTATCTATATTTAATGTTTTATATTTCTCTATAATGTTAAATTTTTAATGAAGATATTTTGCGGTTTTATGAATTTTTGCCGTACCCCAAAGTGAGAACTGAATTATATTGAATGAGAAATATATCTCTAATGAAATTCATGGAAATAAGTTTAAAGGAAATACAGAAAAAAACTCGTATAATTAATATTCCGTACAAGGAAGTCAAGCGGTGTCCGCATAAGATTTTTTTTTATTCTTCTTATAAAACAAACGTTTAAGTCTTTTAACAAATATGATATTTTGATTGATATTATTATATGTTCACGTGTTATGAATGTAATTTAATGAGTAACAGCTCTTGTTGCCATAGCAATGTGAGTGGATAAATAAACACCAGTTTAGTTTAGATGAGACATTCAGCTTTGAAGTGATGCAATTACAAACTAAGTTTTGAAATGGATAAAAATTGACTTTATTCTAATACGATTACAAACCCCCAAATATAAAATATTCTTTTTTGAAATTAGGACATACAATTCCCTCTCAAAACACGACAGAATTCATGGAAGAGTATGTATTATTTTGATTTAATAATAATTTGCTACCCTAATACTTTTACATTTATTATACTAAACGTCAGTACTGCAATGATTGCTATATTTTTACTGAGACTTATTGTTGTATGGTTTAAATTTTAAATACAGTGACATAAGTGCATAATTAAAATTCTTTGAATTGCAAGGAGTAACGAAATTTATCACTTACCACTAATTTTTAGTATAAAAGCTAGTGAGTATACTTTTGTGTTAACATAATCTACAAGTGGCATTTTACATTAATAAAAAATTTATTTCTTTAATTTTATCTCCTAGTATGGTATTTAGGTCATTTAATTAACTTTTTGTTACCTTCTAATTATCCTCACACTTACGAAAACTAGCCAATTTATCGGCGCCTTTGTTAGTTGCCGATAAACGTTTATTAGAAAATTTTTACGACTCTCAGGTACTGTTCCATTCCTAAATAACAGGAGTACTTTAAAAGAAACAGGAAATTTTATGAGTAAAAACAAATATCTAGATGACTGATATTTACACAATTAGCCGTTGGGATGACGATTAAAAAGGTGAGAGATGAGGATAAAGCTTGCAAATCCATATGTAGTCAAGAAAGATGGGCAAAACCAAGGAGATTAGAATAGAACCTCCTAGGCAATCTCTCCCTCCTATTCTAACCTCCTTTGGGCAAAATTGCTCTTTTAAGTGATCAGATCGGAATCGTTCGCTTACTGAAAAGAATCAGTTCTTTTTAACGATTCACCGTTCACTAACAGTGACCTTGATGAATGCGCTCAGAACAAGCGCGGATCAAGAGCGGTGCACAAAGATAAGGGGAATAGGGGGAAGTAGAAACAATTGAACAAGGAGTGGGATCGCTGGAATCAACTCAACCAAACCGCTCACTCCCTGGATTGTTTTCTTTTAACAGTCCAGGGAAATCACTTTTGAGTGAACTAGGGAATCAGTTTGAAATCACTTTTAAGATTAAAAAAAAAAAAAAAAAACATTCTTTATAAAGCAACAAGGAAGATACGACTTTTCGTTTAAACAGAACTGTACGTACCTTTATTGGGTATGCCTTTTTTGCCTTTTTCCCAGGCAGATGTAAACTTCGACGTTTCTTTTCCTATCATATTAATTATGTCATTTATTTTCGTAGAAACATTAAAACCACGTTTTTCGCATCTCTTTTTTAATAACTGAATACGAGTATTTCTCTTCGGACACCGCACAAATATAGCCTTCGATCCATTGTATATTTTTCAGCAACATTTTAAAGTAAAGAATGTTTTCAATGCTACAGCCGATAATTAAACCTTATTCGAATTTGATGCCAGTCATGTTTGCATTTTAAAATCAATATTTAAGTTCATGGAGAAAATCAAAATCGTTACAAAAATGTGTGAACACCCTAGTGTGCCAAGTTGTTTGTGACCGCAACATGATGTTGAAAATAAAGATGAATATTTAATTTGCCTCGGCTACGAAAATTGTTCTTCATTATGGATCTACTTTCTATGCTATCAATATTTCTGTGCAATATCATTTACATCTAAGTCTGCTTTGTGAACTACGTATATCGAAACTGTGGCACGCATTTAGCATCACTAATGTGGTACCAGTGTTAAGCAAAAATATATTTCTGAATAATTGTTCCTATGAGTTTTGCAGTAGTCTTCTTCAGCATGACTGGGTTTATCTTTCCGCACACAAAACCACATCATTTTTTATTTATTAATTTTTTTTCTTAACGGCGGGCACTGTTTTTGTCTTTTGTTTAGATGGACCACTCCTAAGGCCGGAAGTGGGGGCCATTTTATTGTGGAGCCACCTAATAGGCGGCCACCGTTACCTCCTATGAAAGGGTGAACAGTTACAACCATGCCTTCTCCAGGATTCGAACCCGATTCCTTCGATATCTTAGTTGGCTTCCCTAACTATTACACCATCTGGGCGGCCACCACATCATTACGTCCGTACGTATAATTTTATGCTTCAATCAGGCATTTTGCCTGAAATTTAACAAACCTACGTACTAGCGAGTATTTATCGCTCCCGCAAATCGCATTGTTCTGATGGAACTTTTGTGGCATCACGCTATAGATTCAAAGGAGTTTTCTTCTTCAACAATTCTGCTGTAAATTAGTATACTCATGCAGAAATTTTACGACAGTTTCTCCCATTGCAAGAAAATTTCGCAAGCGCATATTTAAAAATTGAGTTTAAAACAAAAAGCATCACAGTGTATCTATAAAAACAGTTAGACTACAACGGAAAATCTATTCCGATTTTAGTGCATTACAACAAAGCACGCTAGGATTATCTGCCTCAGGAGAAGGATGCCTTCATGGAGGGCTTTCTGAGGGGAACTGGTTCGCATACATGTTACACACGGAATAAACCATAAAAACGCCTATGCAACCATTGAGATGACTATTATTCTCGGCCACTGGCGGGTCAGTACGATGGAAAAGAATACATATGAAAATGGCGACGTTGCTTGTTAAACGCCGAAGATTTGTATGCGTAAGCTTGCCAAAGTTTGTCCCAATCTGAAAATTTGGAGGTATTTTTACTAAAGGGTTGCGATAATATGAAAGTGCAAAATTTTCTATAGACAGGATATTTATTATGTTAACGTTCCAGAAAAAAGGGAGTATTTCCTAAATGCGAATTCCTGGACTTATGTATGACATTATAGTGTATTTGATTATTATCATTAAATTACACGCTATAACAAAAATAATTTTAAATTATGATTAAAATTTAAATAATGATTAAAATTTTAGAACAATTGAATGATTTATTTCAGAGTTACATAGTAACGAGCTCAATAAGGTGTTGACTCACCTCTAGCCTGGATGCAAGCTGCCACACGGCATGGCATAGACTGATAAAGATCCTGGATGGTCTCCTGCGGTATTTCTTGCCAAATCCAGTTGTCGGGTTAGGTCATCAACATTCCCTGATAGATGCAATTGCCTTCCCATCATATCCCAGACCTGCCCGATGAGAGAGAGATCTGGCGATCTGGATGGCCAAGGATGTGTTTAACAAGTTATAAGACAGTTCATAGCAACACGTACCGTACGTGGCCAGGCATTATCTTGCTGTAAAATAAGGTCAGGGTACTGCAAAAGGAACGGTATCAAAACAGGTCTCAGAATGCCGTCGCCGTACTGCTGTTCTGTAAGTGTGCTTCTAATTATAACCAAAGGGGTCCGGCTATCAAGGGAAATGACACCCCAGACCATAACTCCTGGTTAAGGGCCTGTGTAGCGGATCGGCATGCTGCTCTGAGCGTCTCCAGACACGTCTTCGATGATCATCACGACACAATTGGAAGCGGAATTCGTCGCTAAAGACTATACGTTCCCAGTCAGCATCATTCTAACCTGATCGAGCCAAGCATCACTGTAATATGACTCGACAGTGTGCAAGTGTGAGTTGCAGGTTAATCCTATTTATGTAGTTACGAGCGTAGATTTTGTTCCATCAGCCGTCTGTGAATGGACACCCGTGTGCGGGTCGCACGTCTGAAGGTTGATAGCGAAGAATCAGCCGCTGTGACATCTGATCTGACAATCACTCTGTTCTCCCGATCTTTTGTCGCTCTAGGTCGGCCGTTACCATCATGACGCTGAAATCTGCTATTGTTCACCCATTCTTGCCAGCATCTTCTAATTCCCACATCGCTTCGACTCATATAACGAGCAATTCTCCGATTTTCCCAACTTGCCTCTGTCAGGCCAATGATACGACCACTTTCAAACTTCGTAATTTTCGTCGACAGTTTCGCGTAATGAGCTCGTTAAAAGGTACCCTAAATCGCAATGCAACAGAAATTTTTAACAAGAACAGCTCCTTATGTACATCTGCTGGATGCGCAGCTCCGATGCGCTGAAGATCGCACTATTCATTCATTGGACCCCAAATTTCAATCATGGGCATATTTGGTCAAAACATTTATTCCTACGAAATTTCAAAGCAGTCGGAAGATTCATTCTTGGTGCGTCGATTTTTTTTTGCTATAGAGTGTATTTTATTGACAAAATTTTTTACTGAACCCCTTAGTTCATACACTGGATTTCCAAAATATAACTTTATTTTTCCCCTTGAGAATTTCCTCAAAGGTTCCACGGACACCCCTTGGAAAACGCTGTTTTAAACAATGCAAATGAGAGAAATGCAGGTTCGTGGTGTGTAGATTAGATAATTACTGCGCGCATAATTTGTAACTCCTTTATTTTATAAGTTCGCAAATTTTCATATTTTTATGGCTTCTGTCAATTATATGCGAGCCTTTTTTAAAAACTTATTTCAAATTTCATTTTGTTATGTGTTTTCTTTCTTCTTACCGCGTGCCTTCATGGTGTAACTGGAAAGCGTCTGGATAGCAACCGGAAGATCCGGAGTTCGAATCCTGGCAAGGGTATTGCATACTTTTGCACATCTCCGATATTATAATTTCAATTAGGTTATACTGGCAGTAATTTAAAACCTTCCATTATTAGCAGTAAAAATGTTTTTTATTTCCTTGTATGAAGTAAAAGAAGTATTGTAATAGCGAAACATTTCGGGTATCATATTTCAACGAAAACATCGATTTGACAGCTCTCAAATGCATTTAGACGATGTTTTTGCGTGATATCTGTATGTATGGACAGTTCCTTCAAGAAATTTTATTTCCTCCAGTCGTGCAATTGTAGAGATATTAGGTTATTTCGAAGCCGGGGAGATGAAAAATGAGCAATGCCCTCCCCGGGACTCGAACCACGGACCTCTCGAATACGCGCCGAGAGTACTGATCACTACATTATGAAGGCATGCTAAGAAGGCGGGAGAAATACCTTATATAGTTCCTCTTTCAAAGGGCGACTGGGGATTAGAGAAGGCAGTCGCCAAATCCTGGTGGTGGAGAATCATCATCCACCACCTATTTTAGTTCGGGCGCTCGAACAGTTTTGGCCACAGTGGTTCAATAATTTAATAAAATACAGAACAAGCCTCAGCCAACTAGACAAAATAGTTTCACACTGCAGCTCTTCAACACTTAATGTTTCTCATAGCCAGATGTATAGTTTATTCTTCTTTTTAATGTTAAGCGTTCATTTTTAATTAGTTTATAATTAAATTTTTTTAATTTTTAAACATTTTTTAAACTGTTTAATCCTATTTTTGTTCAACAATAGCATACTTCTTTTCAAAAATTTTTTAAATTGCTCTGATTTTTAACATCAGAGTTCTATAACTTTGCTAGAGATGTCAAAATAGCTTCACTTTAAGTTCCTTTATGAAACGTTTGTCACATTATGTTTATTCGCATATTATGTGCTTTTTGGTTGTGGTGTATATGCTAGTTCTTTAAATTTAAAATCTCAAAGTCCAAAATTCCAATAACCATGCCTAACTTTCATATCAATGCTTTTTACATTTTCCCTTCAAGACATAGTTTTCATCCCAAATCATTTTTCTTTCTCTTGTCGTACGAAGCACCTAGTGCCCAAGGCGCACTAATCTTTATAACAAAAACTTTTGTTTTCTTATGACTATTGTTCAATTTAGCCCATCTGATTCGCGACCCGGCCCTTGACCGTGGTGCGCTGATAGTGGTTTCTTCCTTCTGCGGGAGGGAAGAGACAGCTTAGGTCAGAAGCCGTCTCGCCGGATAGAGCTTTAAAGACATTAGGTTATTTCAAAGCAGGAGAGAGGAAAAATGAGCAATGCCCTCGCTGGGACCCGAGCCACAGACCTCTCGAAATAGGCGCCGAACGTGCTGACCACTACACTACGAAGGCATGCTAAGAAAGCGGGAGAAATACCTTAAATAATAAACCTTTTTCTTACGTGACATGGTCCTTTTCCTGCATACTTAAATAGATTTGGTCTACATCATACAAACCAGTGCATTGGGGAACAAGAAAGTACAATAGATCATTACCTCTTCAATTCAGCTATATTCCAATAACAACTGTCTTCATGCACAATATGTTTGTTAATAGATTTGTAGAAACATCAACAGTATTTTGTAGTTCGCAATGCTTCCCTGTGAAGTCATTGTTTAGAATTTAAAATAGTTTTTAGGGTAAACATCTGCAGTTAACCATGGACATTATTATTTATTTTAATTTTGAATATTATCTACAAAGTATGATGTTTACCCTTTATTTTTGGCCAACATCTTTAAATCCGAAAAATATTAATAGTACTGTTTATATACAACAAAAATATTGAATCTTTGAATAAAAATCCAACCCTAATAGCTATATCAAACATTGAAAGCAATGTTAAGTACGGCACTAGTATATATTAAATCTAGTATTTTGTTTCGGTGCTCTCCCGGGGTTTCGACTCAGAAGACTACTCGTGACGTCACAATCCAGTGTCCTGACTTTCTTCTGTTAGGAGGTGTTGGCACAATACAGGTCCGTATGCAAGACGACCAGTTGTTTGTATACCCTTGACCCGAGGACACAGAGATGATGTTATGCAAGAGAACACATTATAAGGTATTTCTCCCACCTTCTTGACATGCCTTCGTGGTGTAATGGTTTTGCACGCAGGGCCGGTATTCCAGAAGTCCGTAGTTCGATTCCCGGCGAAGGCGTTGCTAATTTTTTATTTCTCCTGCTTCCAAAAAATCCTAATGTCTCTACAGTGGCGCCCGAACTAAAACGGTCGTGGATGATGAATCTCCGCACCCAGGATTTGATAATTGGGACCCCTAAAAATCCCAGTCGCCCTTTAAAAGGAGGAGTATATAAGGTATTTCTCCCACCTTCTTGGCGTGCCTTCGTAGTGTGGTGGTCTGCACGCTGTGCCGGTGTTTCAGAGGTCCGTGGTTCGATTCCCGGCGAAGGCTTTACTAATTTTTCATCTCTGTAGCTTCCAAAAAATACCTAATGTCTCTACAACGTCTCCTGGATTAATCAACAATGGGCATCTGTTCTCTTCACAGACGAGTCCAAGTTCACACTGGTGAGTGAGTCAGGTCGTCAGCTGGTCTAAAGGGAACAACGTCCCAGATACAACCGATCCCACATTGTAGAAAGACGCAGTTACAGAGGTGGCGGAATAATGGTTTGGGTTGGGATCTCTCTCTGTGGTCACACTGACCTGTATGTGTTCCATGGAGGAACTTTGAATGTTGTGAGATATCGAGAAGAGATCTTTGATCAATATGTCTGCCCATATGCCGCTGCTGTTGGCCCTGTATTTCTTCTGATGGATATAGAATGTCCAACTCAATCCCTAGACCTTAATGCGATAGAGCATCTTAGGGACTACCTTGGGATACAGGTTGCTGCTTTAAGTCCTTCTCCAAGGTGGTTAGATGATCTTGAACAAGAATTACTCCGTGTCTAGTCGTTGCTTCCCATTTCACTGGCCGACAACTTAATTTATAAGGTATTTCTCCCGCCTTCTTAGCGTGCCTTAGTGGTGTAGGGGTTCTGCACATTGGGCCGGTATTCCAGAGGTCCGTGGTTCGATTCCCGGCGAAGGCGATTGCTAATTTTTCATCTTGAGTGCTTCCAGAAAATACCTAAAGTCTCTACAAATTGACAGCATATAACGTCAGTGACGCCAATGTTCTGCAGCTATGGTTGGACACATCCATTATTTGAACCAATTTTTGTAAAGACACAACCCTATTTTTCCTCAAAAAAATGTAATGCGCTGTTTCTCCAAGACTGGAGAAAGTCAAGAGTGCAATTTTATTGTAATTCATGTTTGAGTTGAAATTCAGAAACATTCTATGTCGCATTCATTAAAGAACAGTTTGGTGAACATGTACTCTAAATTTCCTGTTTCTATGCTGCTTCATGCTCAAATTAGACACAAAAAACATACTGTTCTTAAACATTTCGAGAGCAGTGTAGTGTAAATTATAATGGAAAATATTAATGAATGTAACTTTTTATTTTAAATTTAGATCTTATTTAAGGAATCTCATAGAATTCTGTCTTTTATTTACACTTAGTTGTAATGAATTATTTATAACATTTTCATAAAGTAACCTTATTTATCAAACTAATTTGTATGTTACAGTGTTCCAAGAAATTTATGTCCGGCGACTACACGGATGGAAAAATGTCTTTTGGTTATAGTTCTTCTTGTTGTAGCTGTTGGAATCGGACTAACCGTAGCACTGGTGGCTTATTACAGGGGTAAGAATATGTATTTCTGTCGGAACGAAAAACAGGAATCAGGTGAAAAAAGTGCAAAATAAATTGTTGAACACGAATTTAACCTTCCAGCACGAAAATTTATGACAAATTCAGTTTTTAATGCACATTTTTGGCATATCGAAGCTGAGACATCTGAATGGCATTTCTATTCCTCCTTTCTACCCTTCTCCACATCATGGAATGTGCCAACAGAAAGTCATTTGATTTTTTTTTTACTGGACATTTGTGCTACGTGGCAGCGTTTTCATAAAATTTACGGTAAAGTAAAGTCGCTGAACATTGGGAGTTCGGTCCGAGGTTCGAATCCCGCGAACGGGCTGGCTGCATGGGCGTTTTCGTGGTTTTCCCCATGTGTACCGTGTATACGAGCCAGTTTCCCTTAGAAAGTCCTCCACGAAGGCATCCCTCCCCCTTAGGCAGATAGCCCTAGTGTGCTTTCCGTAATTAAATAAACCAAACCAAACCATAAAATTTACGACATGCGTGTGGTCGTGTTTTAAAATTCGGAAAATATTTTTTTCTCAAATATTTTGTATTTTTGTGTTATTAATTGCCGTGTATTATTTTAATTTGAATACATTTGTCTCTGTAAATTTTACATCGGTTTTCATGGCAAAAAAATATGTGCAACCAGTTGATTTTGCTCGGATTCTTCAAGAATTATCTGATGAAGGAAAGGAAATCTTTGGATGGGAGAACAATAGCGATTTCCATTCCTTATTTTCTTTTATTTCTATTTTTTAGAAATAAATAAAAACATTAAAGTTAGTTTAAAGTTCGTTTTTGTAACCAGTAAGAAATAAATTTCCTTGCAGAAGTAAGTAATGCTAAATTAATTTTTTTTCCTACCAAGGTGTTTTCTTTTTTATTGTCTATACTTTGGTGAATATTAAAATTAGCTTAGATTTTGAAATATAATTATTAACTAATAAATTTTAATTTTTCTATAATGAAATACATCATTGCATTTCCATCTCACTAACATAAGAACTTAAAAATAATTTACTTATATTTGAATGTGATATCATTTGTATTTTGCAGCAATAAGATTAATATTTTATTTCTTAACAAATTTATTATCACCATTCACTCATTTCTGTCGTTCTTCGTGCCAAAACCGGTAAAATAACGGATGTTTTAGAAAATACGACACGCGCATGCTCATGTTAAATTGCCAAGAGGGCGTGCTGGAAGGTTAATAAAATCAAGTTGTGCCTTAATATTTCTGATGTTAATATTCTGTAACATTTATGTGAAAATTCGGAAATATTTACAGCTTCTGCCCCAAAAGTTCCGAGGATGGAGAAAACTTAAAATGGACATTTTAATCTTTCAGGAGTTCTAGTCTCCCTCCAGCTGAATGAAACGCGCAGAATATTCATACAAACAATATGAAACTATCCGAAATCCACATAGTGTATGTTTGGGATACTTGTTGTGGCACTGAGGCTTAATTATCGGTTACATCGCGATAGCGTTGATTCTTCATATAAAGTTTGATTTCCGGGAATAAACAAGTCACTTTCTGCCTCATTGGGTAAATATGGAGTTTAGACCTGGCAGATTTTTGTTTTGTTAGAAACTGCGTCCAACTTCAGCCGTGTGAGCAGGCGCACTTTCGTGCAGCAAGAAGAAATCTCTCTCATTTCATTGTTCCTGACGAACCTGTTGAACATTGTTTTTGACGAACCTGCACAACCGATCCATGACACTCGGGAATGGCATTCCCAGTTTTATCCTAGTTATAATACTCATTTATGATTACATCCCTGGAAGAAAAGCCTCGGATAGTCAGGATAGTACTTCACATAAATATGTTTCAGTTTTCAAAAACATGGAAAGCTTTGTAATTTACACTCAGTGTTTTTAAGCAGATAAATTTTAAGCTGAATGTCACACAACTAAATATTTTCAATTTTTTTTTTTTTTTTTTTTTTTTTTTTTTTTTTTTTTTATGTTTTAAATTAGAACCCCGGCGGTCATACGAAATGACCGCTGTTCTAAATATTATAAATTGTAATTAAAATGATTTGTGCAAAGATGTCTGCTAATTCAAACTGAATTACACAGGGCAGGCGGCGAGGACGCCTCTTTGCTTACTGCCCCACGGGGTTTCTCCCTTCTACTTGCTTAATTGCTTAAAGTAGAGAGCAATGAAGGAAACCACTGGCGGTACATTTCTTAAGAACTATCGCTAGCTCAATAAATAAAGGTGATTTAAATAATAAAATGTTAATTCACATGTACACAACATTCTCTTTGTACACAACATTTCTTGTGTAGATCTTTCCATCATTTTTAAGCTCGCCTTGCAGAGGACCATCCATTATTCTTAATTTTACGTCCGTTCTTTCACGAACTCTTGAACAGGCAACATAAAGTTGACCGTGTCCAAATGCAGGCTCAGGTAAAACAAATGGAAAGACGCTTAAGCGTTTGGCCCTGAGACTTATTGATGGTCATAGCAAAGGCAAGTTTTACAGGAAATTGTCTACGTCTCCACTGAAACGGCAACCCTGTGCCGTGGCAACTTCACTCAATTGGCTAGTACAGTTACATCAAGGATCAAGGAAGTTAATTTACGGAGTGCGCTAGGCTAGGCCTTTACCTCCACATCATCAGAGATAAAATAATTACATCAAAAGAGGGGTTCATCTAATAAGGATAAATTTTGAGCCTAATTATAAAAATAAAAGCTTTTCAGATAAAGCCTTCCGCATGAGAAAAGGTAAAACTCATAGAAAGTCTTTAAATTAAATTTCGTGTCTAAAAAGGGCCAGGAATAAATTTTGAGAGAGGAGTCAACATTCAAAAAAAATTTTTTTTCAAGAATGAAAAGGTGCAATACATTTCCTTGATTCTTGATATCAACAGTAAAATAAAATCCTTAGGATAAGCAATCCGGAGAGTTGGGCAAAAAGGGCTGGGGAGAAACCCGTTAGGCGGGTTCCAGTAGCAGTTCAATGTGATACAGCTGATGGAGGAGAAGAAAATTATGGTCGCTATTCAATGCGATGTTTAAAGTACAGTTACGCAAGCAACCAATAAACTACAAACAGACACTTAAGCCGCATATAATAAAGATATTTATTTATTTCATTTTATTTGTTTTTTCATCGTTGCCAGTTTTTGCCGGTTGCATATTTCCGAATTCTATTTTATATAGATGTTAAAATTATTTATTAAATGTTAAATGCACGTGCTCTTGTAGTTTTAAATTTTCCCGCTTAGCGTTCTGATAATATTCATCACGTGCTGCACTGCACGGCTAATAAAAAAATTTACAGTTACGCAAGCAACCAATAAACTAGCGGCGACAAATACTTAAGCCGCTTATATATATAAAGATTTCTGATTTACGGTATTATGGATTTCCTATGCAATGGGGAAGTTTTTAGATTTTGCTCATAACGTCAAGGTCATCTGGTTTTTATCATACATCTTTTTCTCACTGTCTGCATCTTTAATCTTAAGCAACGAAAACACAGACTGAACAAAATGACAGTTTTATTCACACGGTTTTAGCTTCATGTTCTCTTATTCCTATAGCTGTATATTTTTGTGATGTTATTTTATTTCAGTTTCATTCTGGCCTACCAGACGTTCGTAAAGGGAAATTTTATAGCTTGTATGACTAGGATAAACCACAGGTTTTTCACCATAAACTTATCAACCAGCCCTTCTTGTTTTTAATATTGGAAATGAATTTCCCGTCAAGTATTTTTCGTAAATCCTTTGTTATTTTCTAACCGCTACATGTTTCTTCTGCTCATTCATGGGTCCGATTCTAGGGAAACGAGCTGGTTGCATAGGTGTTTTCGTTCGCTTTTCCCATGTGAAACGTATAGATGCGAGCCGGTTTACCTTATAAAATACTTCACAAAGACATCCATTCCCTTAGGCACACAGCCCTCGCATATTTCGTCTCATACTTACAAAGAGAACATTATTGCATCTGTTCAATATTGCATCTGTTATGAATCCCTGCTATCGTTCATACAGCAGTTCTTAAAGGAATCCATTCCTGTAACTTTAACAAAAGAACTTTAGGTTTTAAAATGTATAGTCGCTTTTCAAGTTCATCCTTTGTCAAAATTTCCATATGATACCTTTCCTTATGAAATTACCTAGCTTATGAACTCCTTTTCTTTCAAAGGCATGAAATAAGCCCCGTTTTATTTTTTAGAAGAGGAAATAATATTCAGTGGGCAATAGATATGTGAAGTATGGGGAATATGGTAAAAGAGGTATTTGATAATGCATTAGGGGAGCTAATTAGGAACCCTTGAACTGTTAAAACGGTATGAAACGAGTTATCATGCAGCAAAAATTTGAACACACCCATTCCGTCAACGTTAGTTCATGTGACTGAGAATGTTTCAATTCCTACCTTTTGTTTGCCTTTCATAGCTAAACTCACCTTTTTCCTTTTTAATTATTTTAAGTAATGTGGTTTTCTTGCATCCTATAAATCAGACAGTGAACTGAAATTCTCTTCCACAAAGAACGGGATATCTGACTTTCAAGTCACATTTGTGAATGCTGTTTTGTGCACATAGAACTAATCTGTAGATCTTTAAAATTCAGTGTAAGTGAAAATATCTTTTATACTAACAAAAGGAAGTAAAACATTTCCCCATAATGTTCCATTGCTAAGTTGAAATGCATAACTTTGAAATTTCTATATATCAAATCATTTTTCTTACTCATATGGCCCAAATTTGGATTTCATGAAAACTTCTGAAAACGTAAATTTCCATATGATACCTTTCCTTATGAAATTACCTAGCTTATGAACTCCTTTTCTTTCAAAGGCATGAAATAAGCCCCGTTTTATTTTTTAGAAGAGGAAATAATATTCAGTGGGCAATAGATATGTGAAGTATGGGGAATATGGTAAAAGAGGTATTTGATAATGCATTAGGGGAACTAATTAGGAACCCTTGAACTGTTAAAACGGTATGAAACGAGTTATCATGCAGCAAAAATCATTTCCTGGGTATATGTACCTGGGACGGCGGTAACGAATATAATACCTAAACTTCCTAACACTTATTTCCCCCGTGATACCTTTCCTTATGAATTTGCAGAAATCCCGATTTACTGTTAACGTATAAAAATGCATTTCTAATTTAAGAAGTAAAACTGCTATAAGCATCGTTTTTGTCAGTCATAGATGTGTTTGGGCTTCCTAGGATAATGGTGACTTAAGTGACTTTAAAGTCAACATTTTGCCGCATATTTGTGTGGATCATATATACTTCATGCATCGCGCGAGACCTGATTTGTATTTTGCAGCAGATATAAAAGCATCAATAAGGAAGCTTTCGTTTGCTCATCAGTCAGAATGCGGTGCACAACCAGGCATATTTCCTTTATTGTGATCATTAAGATGAAAGTCATGACAAGTTTACTTATTGATCAAATTGAAGAGAAAACACGCCAGTGTCAAAGAGAAAGTGCTAGTACCAGCTTTTATAGAGATGGTTTGGTTGTCTCGCATTTTAATTAGCAATACTAATAATATCATTAATAAGGTTAATAAGCTTAAGTGAACAGAGTCTTAAGAAGTTTCGTGCCCGTTTCATGCAGCGCATGCACAGCAGAATCCAACTTAGGACATTACTTCCTATAAATGGGAGCTGTCACTTTTTTCGATTTCGCCGTAACAAAATTAGAGTCCTTTATGGGAGTATTTCTACGAAACTTAATATACACCAGGCAACGTTTGAACGAAGCCAAATGGCCAGATTTACGCTCTAGCACATCTTGATTTTTCCTCCTTTGGCAGCTTGCATATATATGTTAGATACTTTTGTCTACATTTGTAATAGTTGTTTGGTTTTGTTTTTAGAACCAATCTATTTTTGAACAAATCGTTGACAGAAGAAACACATCATCAAGGTTTTCACCTGTAGTTTATGATGTTAATGATCAGTCCAGATAATTGTCCTGAAGGTAGTAAATCTGATTTCTCCTATAAATAACAGGAGCGACGATCGTATTCATGTCGAAAGCAAAAGTCAAAGCTGACGTGAACGTATCGTCTTCTATCCAGAAAAACAGTAACGAAATTGGGAAAATCAAACTATTTTTTAAAAAAAAATATATGCTCTTTATTTAATGATACTATTCTAATCCAGTACTCCCTAACTCTTTTAGATTTCTAATAGCTTAGATTTGAACTCTTTATTACTATTTTCCTCAACAGAGGGTGCTACATTAGTGTTTGCTTTGTTCCGCCCATTGCTTTTGATAAAAATACAGTCAAGAAAATTCCAAATATCGCGAAAAACTGCCAGAACCACAAAAGAAAAATGAAATATCCATACAATTTAATAGTAATATACTGTAATAAATTAGATAAATAATTACTCTATATATGCTATTTTTAATTATATACGACTTTAATGCAAACATTTGTATTTTGGATATTGTTGTTAAAATGCCTTTTTTAGAGATTATTTTCTTTTAATTACCAAAAATCTTTGCAGGTGATCCATATGACGTCACACATCCGTCACTGGAAAAAGTTTCTCCTTCCTATTGTTTAACTGTTCCCTGTATCACAACAGGTAAAAAACGCAAAAGTTATCTAGAGTCATTTAAAAGTCTAGATATATTTTTTCTGATCTGTAAACTCTTGTTGGAATCTACAGTCTGTCTATCATAAGAAAAGCTCTCGCCGGTTAGTCTGCAGCTGTCTGTTGCTATTGAAACGAGTCTTGAGCTATTTTCCGTAGGGGTGTCTTGAAGACGAATGATAAACTCTTTTCTCCTCAGCCAATCGTCCACAAAAACAAAATAACAATAAAGCAACCCTTGGTTCGCTCCTATTTGAAATGCATTACCCCTGTTGCTATAGCGACAGCCATCAGCCAGACACTGTGGAGGGAGCTATTCTTCTCGTAGACAGACAGTAAAGGTACCATGAAAAATAATTTTAATTGCGCTCGATTTGTATAGTCATTAGTTTTTTTTTAGGCAGGAGACGGGAAAAATGAGCAATGCCCTGGCCGGGACGCGAACCTGGACGTCTCGAATACGGGCCGAGTGTGCTACCATTACACCACGAAGGCATGCAGAAAGAACGGAGAAAACACCTTATAGATTTTCTTTGAAGATTATTACCGATAATTTTAAGGAATTTTTTGAGATTTTGAAGCCATGGAATTAAAATTTTAATTTCAATTTTTTTTATCCTTTTTCTAATTTCTTATGTAGTTGCTGAAATATTTCTCATGTGTAAAAAGTTTTACATATGAGTTTTATTCATGTTTTTAAAAGTTTTACTCATGTTTTTAATAATGCCTTCATTAGAATTTACGCGATTTGCATTATGGGAACTTTAGATTCTGTAATGTTGTAAGTTGCTAAGGCGCTGACATGTGTTACATCGAGAGACAATTGCAGATAGCCCTCAATAGTATTGTTAAGAAAGTAGAATAGACATTTTGTGTCCATTTCTGTTGTAAAAGGAATCTTCATCCCGATTCAGAGATCTTTCTAGAAGGCTGACCAGTTACAGTAGTGAAAGAAGTAAGACTTTTAGGACTAGTACTTGATAAGAAGGTAATCTTTCTTTGTCTTGTTTCATAACAGAAAAATAAATGCTTCAACGCATTAAATTTTTTGAATGTACCACCAAAATATCTCCTGGAAGCGGATAAAACTTTCATGTTCCGAATTTACAGAGTTCTTGTTCAATCCAAACTCGAGTACTGATCGATGGTGTATGGTTCGGCACGACTAGCACGATTTTTGTTTTGTGAAGATTCGCCCTAATCACTACTAAACTCTGAGGAACATTCCATCTCCTGTGCAGAGTCTATATGAGGGAATACTTCGAGCCACCACTCAGCTAAGGCGCGGTCATTTGTCCTTTAGATGTTATTTCAAAATTCTGTCACATCCTGCTCATCCAGCTATACTTTAGATAACCAGTCTCATCAACTGTTATAACTTGCGCGTCCTTCCTTCAACTCCTGCTTTTGGATTATGCTCCAGGCAGTTAATACAAGAGTATGACTTGGTTAGAGATCAACCAGGAAAGTAATTGGAAATACTCCTTGAAAAGACGCATACATTGACCTTCTAAACATATTTGGCACTTTTGCTGAAGAAACCATCATTGATACCGATATGATGATATCATCATTGATACAGCAGTGATTAATGCTCACACAGATTTTTATGAACATTACATTTAACGACTACGTTGTATTATACGGATTGGTCTAGGTCTCAGGATCACGTTCCCTCGTCTTTCATATGAAAGAATATGTTTGAGGAAAGGAGACATCTTTTCACCTATACGATCTTTACAACGGATATCGTTACCAAATTTTTAACCCTTTCTGTCATAGCTAAACAGCACGGGAAATTTTCGTATTATTTGCATAGACAATTAAGTATGCTAAAAGCACTAGAATTACATTTGGGATAGTGTAAATCTATTAATCGTAGAGCTACTGAAGATCAAAACTGACTTAAAACCAGTGGTCACCGAATCCTTTATTGCTAGAGATTAAGTCACGCTGGATAAGGGAGAACGAACTGGCGGACAATGCTGGCAAAATATGTCCATGAAATTTTATTTTATTTTATTTATTATTATTCCGCCTGTTCACTCCTTAAAGGGCATTATAGGTCAGTCATGTTATTCTGATCGTTGCTACAGCAACCTATTTTGGTTGTTTATCTTTTCAACCTTATTATATATAGATAAACAGATTAAACAATAGTTAGTACTTTTGTTGGGTGCTCCAACTTACAATTTTGTGGGAATGTTAGTATAAAATTAGCAGAAAGGGTTAGTTAACTTAGAGATATTTACATATATACATGAGTAGAGGCTTGTTGCCTTTACATTTCGTCAGGTGCCTAGACCTGATTATCTGCTATGATTACGTTTCTCTTAGAATAAACATACTCTATGATTATTCTGACGTCCCGCTGTCCGTAGTAATCCTGAAGAAGGTCTTTGAGGCTATGTGATCCCTGGAGCTGAGGAAGGAAGGCTCTGATGGGAGAAGTGAGTGGACAGTTGTGGATGTAATGTGAAACGTCTGTTGAAGAAGCTGAAGCACCGCAGGTGCATTTCACGTTTTGATTGCGGAACCTGCTGAGGTACGCGGAAAATCTTCCGTGATTCGTGAAAGCTTTTTGTAGATAGAAATCTGTTTTGAGCTTTTGATGGAAACCACGATGTCTGTGAAATATCTTTTCGACCCGTCCTTTTTACAGGTATCAACCAGATGATCAAAAGAAGAATTCTTATGAAATGGTAGAGGCTGCGAGATACGCAAATGAGCTATAAGTTAACACTAAGCCTAAAGCAGAGTGCTGGGAATGCATCCTAAACCGAAAGGAGAACGTTCTTCTGAAACGGCTAAGAATCGGCCACTCGGCCACTGGAGAATGAGGCATATGTATCTGTTGAGTAGGAAAAGTGAACCGATGAGTGCAAAATACAATGTTGATTTAAACATCAAATATATTTAAATTGATTTTTCACTTTTTAAGTGCTTTCTGATTTCATATTTTTAAATAAAGAGATTTCTGTATTTCATACGAAAATAGAGCATTCTTCTACTAAATACGTAGCCTTTCAGCACTATAGCAACCAGAAAAGAAAATTCGTTTTCTTTGAATAAGTAGCACTTCCCCAGTCCAAAAATAGAAAATTTGTATTCTGTTTAATGTACAACGTTTTCCTACCACCCAAAATTAGAACATGTTTTATTTAGAAGGATTGCACATTTACCTTTTGACATGGGAATAAGAATCAAAGTTGATATGCTTAAAAACTGTAGAAAATTAACGTAAGTATGAAAATCCAAGTATATATAAGTGCGCACTTTTCTTGTTTTGAAGTGACCGCAATTTCGTGACATTTAAGACACATCAAAATCTGCTTTGACATGGAATAAGAAATGACGCATCCCAGACTTCATTGCATGTCAACAATTAATATCTAAATAGATTTTGAAATGATCGCAATTTTATGACGTCTAGGATTCATCGAAATTTGTTTTGACGTTATTAATAAATGACGCGTCTCAGCTTTTTTATTGTATATCACAGAGTTAAGGGTCGGAAGACATTTTTAACACTGTAAAAATGTAATGCTTTTATTTAAAAAAAGCTCCACAGTATGGATTTGAATGTCGTGGCAAAAGAATGTTATTTTTTAAAATGGTACATTTGCAAGATTTTAGGCCTGACTTTTTTCCAATTATTTGCAGCGAACCTTCGATACGATGGCAGGTTACTTTATGACATAAAACGTTAACTTTTGTTAAAATGTCACATGCTTACGAACTGAAATGTAATTAAATTTTTTGCTCTATTTTATAGAAGTGATAGCTGCTGTTACGGATTAAAAAATCCAAAACAAGAACGAATAAAATTGTTTCCGCACAATGCAACTATCTTCAACTAGTTTATTACATAAAGGAAAAATACACTAGTGGGCGATAGCTAAGGACGGACCACAAACGTCTACATAGCGCGTAAAAAAGTGTAGCTGGATGTCAAGGGAAATTAAGTAATGATAGAATGCCAATAATGAAGATAATTAACTGTTCTCTGGAATCTAGAAGACTTTGAAGAGTGTTCAAAAGACAAAATGACTATTTTGTACTGAATACGTAAACGAGAAATAAATGCAGTTACCATCCTGAGGCATTCTGGCGTAAGTTGTCAGTACGGGGTTAAAACATTAAAAAAACTATTGTACCATACAATAACAGAAGAAATTCTACTGTACGACATTTCAGCTTGGTACAAAACCTCAATACACATGCACAAAAGCAATTACTTTCTGTACAAAGACCTTTTTCTCCTGGCAAACATAAAGGCATATTATCCCATTCCTCTGTCAGTGCAGAGATGAGGGTGTCTTTGTATACTGGAGGGCATCGTTGACCAGCGATACTCCTCTACAAAGCACACCAAACATTTTCAATGGGATTCAGATCTAGAGAACGTGCTGGCCATATGAGGTATTGAATATACTTGCTTTCAAAACACTCCCGGATAGGGCTGTTCGATGTCATATTGCGTTGTCATTTATGAAAATAAATTTATCACCGTCAGTACCACAGAACATCATTAATGCATCGTTCGTCAGTCATAGTCCCAGATGGAAGGACAGGGAGCGACGTAAGGCCGCTGATCCTGATCGCAGCCCATACCATGAAATTACAGGTAGGATATCGGTCTCTTTCCTGTATGTTTGCTGGGATATAATGCAGTACCACTCTCACGCCATATCAGTTGTCATCCTCAATGAAAAGAGAGACTGTACCTACTTTCATCTGAGAATAGTACACAAGCCTAGTCTTCAAAGAATAACGGATCAGGATGGCCAGATATCACTCTTATGAACCATCCAATAGCCGAAAAAGTAAATCATTGGACTGTGCTAGAAGACGTGAACATATCTCATCACAAAATTATTTTTTTTAATAATAATTCCTTTCTGTAGGGATATCCAAAAGTTCTATCAGCATGCTACGAGATGTACCTTTTAGGAGGGATTTTTGTTGCGAGCTAGACGATCGTTGATGTT